AATATAAAAAAGAAAGTGTAAATGAAAAGGCTTTAAACTAAAAATCTCCTGGCTCAATGTTTTATGAACCATCCTTAACTGCAGGCACTGCAACTCTGATGACCAACTCCTGTAGTTTTTCATTATGATCTTTGGCCTCGGCTTAACCAGCTGCTGCACTTTCTCTAGCAGCAAAATCTTCCCCACAGAAAGAATGACACTGATTCTCATCAGATCTTAGCCTTTTTTTTTTTAAGAGAGGTTCTTACATTTGATTTGAGATCTACATCTAACTGTCTGCCGCCTCTCACCAATTGACAGCTGTAGATAAGCACCAGCACCGCTCGCAACCCCAGGAGGATAGGTGTGATTAATATGGAATGTTTGTGGGTCTATCTTTACTTCTATATACAGTATAGTATTCAGCACAAATAATTTGCTCATAAATAAAAGATTTTCATTTCTTGAAATGGTAATGCATGGACCTAAGCCCCATATTTGTCAAAAACGCTGAAACTGACCATAACCTCAGCAGGATATTGAGCAGCTCAACGAAAATTCTGAAAAAAAAATATCGGAACTTTCTGAAGTTCCCGCCTTATCCGCCTTAGGTCAAATGACGGCGGGGTGTCCATATGACTGTGGGAGGGAGAAAAGGATGCTGGTCTTCTTCCTGACCCGAATCTGTTAAAGAATGTTTTCAGTTCATTGGCTCTGTCCAGACTTCCACCTGTTTGATCATCCTTCTGCCTGCAGCCTGTTCTTTATCCCTGACCACATATCTGTTATGCCCGCAAACGTATTTCAACCATAAACATACAAAAAATATGCAGCTTTTAATCTAATAATGTAATGACAAATGTACTGCCCTAGTAATGGTGTGCATAACCAAAATTAGACAGCTAGCCAAACTTCCTGAATGAAAACACGAGAGTCTGGATGTAGCGTCTCAAGCTCCAAGTTTACTGAGGACTCTTGTTGTCAGACAAGGTGTAAAACTTAGTACTTAATAATACAGAGATAAAGTCGAATTAATTTCTTATATAAACACTAAAGCATGAACATTAAACCAAAATTCCATTAAATATAGTAGAAATAAAAAAGAACGGGTATCTTCAATATCCTGGATGTATAATACAGTGAGCATATCCTATGCTGAGCAATGGTGACGAACCAATATCTAGATATTAATCTAGCAACAAAAAATCCCATCAATATACATCAACACTAACAGATACCCATGTAAATAATACATTTTTACTTACAAACAATGATTTCTATGGCTCAAACCAATCAGATGGTGACAGATGAGAAGACAGCAGAATAATCTACTGATCTCTTTAACTGACAGGAACATGTGCAACTGCAATACCACATTTGACCAAATTACCAAAATGGGGGGCGCTAAAGCATAAAACTTCAAACTGCCTGGGAGGCAGAACAACCAACATGATACATTTCCCACAAATGTAATAGCAGCTGCCTACTACAACAGTAATGAGTGACTTTTCACAATCATAATAACTATTATGTTTGCAGATAATTATTTTGTTTGTGGAAAACAATGTAATAGAATATCCATGCTTAGTATTAAAATTAGTTTGGTGATCTAAAACATTTAAGTGTGAGATAAAAGTAAAAATGTAAGAAAATCGGTATATCTATATAAATAGTTTGTACAGGCTAATAACCCTTGTCAGGGTTAGATTGAAAGGCTATGAGGACAGGTGCAGCTATAGGTTGTATGCTTTCAGAGGATTTCACTGAAACTAGGTAGCAAAATGTGTGATTTTTATAGAACAATAAATGTAATTGAATAACAATAAGGGATCTGTAGTTAGTTTTTCACACAATTTTTATTTTTAGAGAACTGAAGTAAAGAATTATGGGCCCTGCTAAAACACTTGCATCTTAATTAATATTAATACTGTAAATTAAGAATTTCACAACTTTGTTTTTTTCATTTTTCTCTGCAGTTCAAGTAAAATAAACAATGGGGGAAATAATAAGTTATTACTGGATTACTGGCACTAAAACAGAAACCAGTTCAATCGAATCCTGTGCAAATTACACTGTGTATGAATATTTAGTAATAGGCTAAGGATTAAAAATCTTAACACATTATCTAATAGTTTTTTCATACAACTGAGAGAACAGCTAAACAACTCAGACCTTCTACAAAGCTGTAGATTCTATGGCTGCAACTAATGATTATTTTGCAAATAGATTCATCTCTTGATTATTTATTTTTTTCAAATAATCGATTATCGGACAGCCAAAGGTTCCTTAAAGAAGATTGTTTTTTTTTTACCAATTTAAACCAGGTGAAGCTAAAACTTTTCCACTTCAGGAGTTCTGGAAAGAGCAGATTAACAGATAAAAAGATTTTTTTATTTCAAATGCAAAATGTTTTCATATTTGTTTTGCAATTTTGGTATAATTACTGCTTTAAGTGGGTCGCTCTGTCAGCTAAAGACATGTTTTAGAGTCTATATTTCAGTTAATTATTAATCAATTACTAAATTAGTTGAAGATTATTTCAATAATTGATTAATCACAATTAATCCGATTAATTGTTTCAGCCCTGGTAGATTCTATAAAAACTCTCCATGACACAAGACAGCATTCCTCTGGATGTTTCATTTTAAAAAAATGTGATGGAAATTACGTTTTTAGAGATATTAAATGGACCAATATAAGGATAAATTAAAATGAGAAAATCCCAGTGATTATCCCTCTAGGAATCCTGGATAACTGAGTTATTCTGCACATCCTCTCTGTGTTTTAATGTAGTTGGTCTTTTCTTGGGGACTGAAAAATAAAATACAATGATTCTTTTTTCTTTTATGTGGACCTTCTATCAGTTTGTGAGGCATACAAGACACTTTTAAGAATTTAAAGATTTGTGTTGGTTTAATAAGTTCTAAATTTCAACTAGACTGAGCAATAATTAACTTGGGAGCAAAACTGGGACTAAAGCAAGTGGCTAAACTAGAGCAAACAAGGAGTAAAGCTCACAAAGATGTAAAGAAAACAAACTATTTAATGTCAGTTTGATGTCATTCTACACTCAGTCTCCACATTGATTTTTTTAAGCTACCTGCTGTATATTAATACAGATAATAATTTATAATTGCTCAAGTGCTAGACTGCTTAAAATCTTCATTAATTTGCAAAGAGAATTATCTTAGTCAAGATAAGAAAAGGATAAGATAAAAAAGCGAATGTCATACCTCATAATAACTGCTTAGAAATCCCGGTCTTTTTAAATATCTGCAGCAGCTGCTGTCAGCGCAATGATTAGCTGGGCTGGTGCAAAAATACGGACTGGATTCACACCTGGCGTGTTATTATGTGTTAGCACTACGGTTTTGGCAAAAACGCGGACTGGAATTCTATCACCATAGTATTTTTATATATAAATAAGTGGAATGGAGTTGAGTTTTAATGTCCGTCGTTTTTTAGCTTTAAAAAATGGAAATAAGGAGTGAGAGTGTGTGAAGACACTGAGAAGTGTGAGTCTCACACCTAATGGGTGAGAGTTGACAGCCTGGAGGACATGATATTATTCCTTAATGGCAGTCTGTGTCATTACCATGACATGAAACCAGTCAAGCAAAACATCAAACTTTTGTTTTTATGTAGGTATCTATGAATTTTATGGTTTTATAAAGCTATAGTTTATATCACAGAGTATCATACTTTTACATTAAAAGTAGTTTAATGTAAAATGTAATGTAGTTTACATTAGGGCTTGAACATTATTCATCTTTTTTTTTTTCTTAACCCACTGGACAATTATTTGAACTATCAGAACCAAATTGTGGAAGCTGGAGGAAGGGAGCAGGCAGGGATATATCCCCTGTGCCATAATATAAATTACATATTTGAAATGTTATTAATAGTTCTTTTAATGTGCTTTTTTTTAAGTCGAGCCAAACAATAAAACTAACAAATTCCTTCTTCATGAAAGCTGGTTCCTTACACACTCGACCCGCAGCAGTGCATACTAATTTTGATTTATTTAGATTCAAAGACATTTATTTTATCTTATTCAGAATTAATATTTCAATTTATTTACTCACCACACTTGTTTTTAATTTCTTGCATGGAATTTCTACTATTGCACAGCAAACATCCATACCAGATTTACGAGAACCCTTATCCTCTTAATCCCATTTCCAGGATAGATAGATAGATAGATAGATGTACTTTATTTATCCCAAGCTGGGAAATTGCAGATCGCAACTAAGATTCAAGTTTTTAAGAAAAGAGTTTCTGCAAAAACACTTCTGAACACAAAACTGTAAATGTTTTAAAAAGCAGTTTATTTATAAAGCACCAATTCACAACACATGTCATCTCAAGGCGCTTTACAATCCTTATACAGTAGTTCATACCGGTACATGGAAGATTGTAATATCTTTAATAGATTTTTAGAAAAGCAAATTTGGATTTTTCTGGATGGCTTTTTGAATATTGTGGACATTATGTTTTTCTTCTACTCTTAATTTCAATCATTTTAGATTTTTTCACTTACTATTTTTCATAGTAATATCAAGCTAAAGAAATCTGAGGATCTAAGGGTTGTTCAGACCTATGAGGCTCATCAACCATAACGATAAATTAGTCCTGTAGCAAAATGCATCTTTACGCCACCTTTACAATATGATAAATACAACTTAAACATTAAAGAACGTAGATACTGCAATTCACATTTTTATTATTTTTATTAAATAAAACACATTCAGTTTTCCGATGTGGCAATAAGAATAATTGTCTTGATGCCAAAAAGAGCCCAACAGATTTTACTTTCACAAGTGGAGCAGTACGTCTATCGCCATAGTGTTCCACTTGTTTTATGCATATAAATAGCTTTATTATAATTATGCAGGGAGTTTTACATATTATATGGACACTGCAATGTAAGTAGAACAGAAAAGGAAAAACAGAAAAAAAGGAGAAAAGATGCAAGAAAGAGGAAATAAAAGGGAGATAACAATAAAACATTTTCAGTCTGCTTCATCACCTGGAAAGAGATGTAAAAAGAACAGCACAACCAACAGATATAGTATAAGAGATACAATAAAGTAACACCTAGATACTATCGCTGAAATATAAGTACTATTATTATATTATATAATACTACATTCTGTTTTCTAAGTGCAAAAGTATGAAACTGCAACTTTTCTGATATTTGTTTTGCTAGTCTTTTACAGCTTCTATGTAAATTACTTGTGTTCAAATTGAACCAAAAGTTAAAGTAAATCTTTTATTCAATGTCACAAAGTATCTCTATTTTTACAACTATTATGTTTCAACAAGGTCTCTCTATTTATGTATTTGAAAAATATTTAATAAATCATCAATTTACAAACATTGAGAAAAAAAGTCTTAGTTTGACTTTTGCTAATCATGGTTCTTGTTTATAATACAATGTTTTGCCTGTTCAGTATAGTTGCTTATAACAGCTGGCATTCATTAAAAAAAAAATTTTATACACGACACAAGGTTATGGAGCCTTTCTGAAACCAGAAGCCTGGAAAAAGCTCCTCTTCAAAATTGGCATAAAAGGTATGAATCAGACTCAGCTCTCCAGATGACACATTGAAATAACTAAGAGTGCCCCCCTTCCAGTCCAGCAATACGGCTATTTTGGGGCATGGCTTAATCTTAACTGTAAACGAATCCTTCCCATGAAAGGCAGTGCATTTGGTCTTGGAACATAGTAAACTCCAGGACCAGTCATTGCTTCCAAGTCCACCACCACTGTCATAATTTCTACCCACAATGTTATACGCCACTGCAATCCCAACCACGCCTTTCCATTCCACCTCCCAGTAGCAGATGCCTTTTAGGCTCTCCTCACAAAATACCTGGGTCCTCTTAAATCTGTATTTTTCATTTTCTTGACGTGTGTTAAATTTTTGCGGAATAAATTCAGTTTTTGCCTCTCTATTATTTTCAGAGAGAACCAGCCGTCTGCTAGATGTTTTTCCATCAAGAGTGAGATCCACAGCATCTGGAAAACAAATTTACATTTCAGTTTAAATAGATGTCAGCAAAAAGGCAAAACATGAAACACATTTAAAATAAGTTAAGCCCCTGTCACACCTTAACAATTTAGTCAGCATATGCCTGACTTCCCAGAATCTCCTAAAACGCTGGCATATGCTGAACATTCTCTAGTTTCCTGAAGGGGGCAGCAATGCGCCCGGAGCCACCCGGCTTGCATAAAAATATTTATCTGATCCTGTTATTAACCTAGCTGCTGTTTACCGCCTGCCCAAAAAAAAGAATAAATAAATAAAAAGATAAAGAAAGAAAAAAGGGTTTGCAGTCGCAGCAGATTCAGCGACATGTCCGCTAGGAAGTTTGTTGGTGGTGACCGTGGGCGCGAAAGCAGGGAGGATCCATCACAATCGGCTTCGCGCCCAATATATGATGGGGATGAAAGATCCCTTTTAAATTTTGTAAAATAGGCTTGATAAAAGTAGTCATTAAACTAAATGACGTGTGCACTAAAATGTGCTTAATTTCATGAGTATGTTGAACATTAATCAGCTGCACAAAACGATCTCTGCTCCTCTGTAGTAGCAGAACTCTATATGCTATGCTCAGTCAATTAGAAATCCCTCTGTGCATTGAAGCAACCAGTGAGAAAGTAGCGCCCTGATTGGATAACATGCAAAAATCTGTCACTTCAATATAGGTTAAGCCTCTTAGAGAGTCTATGAAGTCAGGGCGGTCCGGGGGTGAAAAAGTAAAAAAAAAAAAAAAAAACTAAAACTTTTGCAAGTCTTCAGTTGTCACATTGATTTACTATGCTATGATGATGCTGGCAAAAGTCATGAACTATGTTCCAAGGCAGGGGCTCTTATGTAATCTCTTTTACTTTTATTTAAATCACTGTTCATCTCGACTTTATCAATGAGAAGAGGCCATTTCTCAGCGCTATCATAGATCTACTAGTATCTGCTAATGCCTGAGCTCCGTCTCACGTAACTGCAGTATTTTATAATGATATAGAATTTCCTCATGTTGACAATGTAACCAGAAGTAAATATTTATATAATTTAGATCAGCCAAACTTACAAAGCAATTATTTATATGCTAAACACATTTTGTTTCCGGTAAAAGCAACACTTTTATTCTGTAGCAATCAAGACATTCTATAGATGTATTATTTTTGAAAGGCTCTGATAACAAAAGTTGTAGCTATGCCCTTTATATATCATTTAACTTTTTGCTATTTTTTGTTTATTATTATTATTATTTGATTTACATTCTTTGAAAAATGTCACAGCCCCACCACATTATCTCTGTAATCCAGTTAGTTGGAGCTAGAAATTGACCAATACAGGGTTTTTTTTTTTATGTCCATTGCCCATACTGATTATTTTAACATTATTCTAAACAATCCCCGATATTTACTCCAAATATTGTGCCGACTCTTAGGACCGATATTGCTTTTTCTTCCTATGTTTAAATGATAAAAAACACTGAATGATAGCAAACGTTACACAAAATTAAACAAAAAAAAACTAATCTTTATTACCAAATCAATAACATAAACATTAAATGGCAAATGGAGGAAGCAGCTATTCACAAGCTTTATGTGATCTGGGCCCCCTTTTGTCTACAAAAAGGTTTTTGCACCCCCTCAATCTCTAATCTCGCTCCAACCTTTCAGCAGTTGAAACAAAAAAATCAACAGCAATATATTAAATATTGCTTTAAAAAATAAACTACAATTTCCTTTAAATCCCAAAAATGAGCAGGTTTGAAATGCAATTATTTTGAGTTTACACATTTATTGTACTCTTTAACAGAATTTAACATTGCTATCAAAAAAAATTAATTAACAAAAAAAAGAAAAAGAAAAACTGTCAAACTTGGTTATTTATTCAATTTATTTCTACCAAGCCTCCTTCAGTTAGAGAGCACCACCTTTAGTGGATGAGACCCACGGATTGTGAATGTAATGCATGCACATGTTGGCTGATGGAGATACAGGAAAAAAAATATCTAATATATATCTAGTTTGATCTCATGACTTGTATGTAAAGGCAGTCGTCCAGATTATGTCTGGAAATTTAAACAGAATTAAAAATCTTAAAGAGAACAAACAGCAGACTTACATTTCTTCATCCCAGGCTTTAACCGATGTGGTCCATTATGGTCAAAACTGTTAAAACAACAAAATCAGGTTAAATGCTATTTTTATAGTTGCTTTCCATCCATACACTCACATCTCACCTTATTAGATAAGCCTTGCTAGTAAAACTACATTTAGTTTAGTAAAATTGGGGATTTAAAACTACCTTTGATAGGATTTTTACGGTACCCTACTTCTTACTTTTTCTTGAGTACTGGTAATATTCTCCTATTAAATACGTCCTATTTGAATGAAACTTCTGGCTACTCTGCCCACTGTGAGTAATTTCAGCTTGTTTTAAAAAGGTTTTTCTAAACATGGTTGCAGAATTCAGTTGAGTGGCTGCAAAGTTTGTGTTTTTCTTTCCATGAAAACTTCTAAGGTTCTGCTTAAGTTCTTGACTGACAGCTACATCTATAACCCAAACGTCCTGTTTAGTTGCATTTTAATATAATAAAAAAAACAAAAAAAAAACATCAAACGTATCAGCAACATACCACGGCGTCTCTAGGTTGTGAGCTGGGTCATCAGCAATAGCGTTGAGCACACTCAGTCCATTGTCTCCAGAGTGATTGTAACTCAAATCAAGCTTTTTTAGTTTGGAGACTTTATTAGATTTAAGTGCTGATGCAAGGGAATCACAGCCTTTCTCAGTCACCTGGCAACCTGCTAAACTGAGCATGCATACACAAAAAAATGACTGGTTAATTTATGCTAGAAGAAGAAACAACTAAATTAACTTTTCATTTTGATTTAACACCATAATAATATTTTTGATTCTCTGCATCTTTAATGTAATAAGGGGACTCAAAGGTTGTTGAAACCTGAAATATATGGTTTAAGATGTTTGTTATTACTGCACATACAAAAGTCATGCTAAAAACTTGATAATTTTGAGAATTTGTTCACACTTAGCAAAAGGACATATGCCATTATTCTTTTTCAATGATTTTTTAAACAACTGTGTTTTAATTCCAAAGCACACTTACTTAAGAAGCTCCACTTTACAATGTAAACTCTTTAGTCCTTCTGCAAGAAGCTCTACACCTGAATCCAGCAGATCGTTATGACTTAGGTTCAGTTCTGTGAGATTTGAGGATGCAGAAGTAAGCACTGAAGATTTCAAACCTCTGCAAGATTCTTCCGATAGCTCACACCAGCTCAGTCTGTAGAAAAAATAAAAAAAAAATAGCAGCACAAATGAACAAAATATTGTCACAATCTTACAGATAGATTCATTGTGTACTTTAGGTACTCTGCTACAGAGAATTGAAAGAGAGACCATCTAGTAGCATGATGTGTTAATGAATATAGGGCAGTGAAAATTTTGGAAAATAAAGATTTCCCTCATTTCTTTCTTCTTTTTTTTTTGACTACTTAACATTGTGAGTTTTTTGCAGGCCAGGTGCTCTCTGTATTTTACACTACATGTAATGAGACGTATCCCTTTCAGAATGTTCCATGTTTGTGTCACCCACCCATTGCATATTTTTCCAATCACCATTTTCATCATTGTTTTTTGGGAATATAAATCAAAGCTATAAGGGTTTATATATTTTTTTTCCTTAGTCAGCAGATGGTTTAACATCTCGAAAAACATACAACTGCCTAGTTGTCATGGACTGCGGTGCTCCAGCTGATGCTCTGTGTTTTTTTGTGACCTAGGGGTGGTCATAAAATGAGGGTTGTTGTACTGATGACATTTATTATCAAGCCATTTTTCTCCAAAAGCCCTAAAATGGGCTTTGAAACTTTTTTTACATTGAGAAATGTAAAAAAAAAACAAAAAAAAAAAAAAAATGTTTTGTCATGTCTTTTTGTGGGGGTGTTTCAAATTAAATGAAATAATGTGTTTGTCTGATTTCAAAATCAATGATTTGAAAACATTTAAGCTAAAACAAAACCCATATATTTAAGAAATCTTTAAGGGGCAAAAACATTTTAACAGCATTATACATTATATCTGCTATTTTATATATATATGTATATGTATAAAAATATTTGTCTATATATATTTTGAAATATATATTTATGTAATTATAATCCCAACTAAGATTGCAATGCAGCAAAAAGACTCTGCTATGATATTAACTTAAGAATAAAAACAAGAATTGTATTTATTTGTAACAATGTTAATTTTTTTGCAATTTTATGATAACTCCTTCTTTAATTTACTTTTCCAAATAGTACAATAACCAGAGTCTTAAATAATGCTGTACATAAAAAGCCTATGTTAACTTCCTCCCAACTTTAAGTCATTACTATCAAAGATGATAAACCATGATAGCTTAGTATAAAAAAAAAACAGTTTTCAAAATACGTACAAAGTAGTTCGAGAGACTTTGACCACTGGCATCATTCCCAGAAGAACTTTCTCAGATTTCAGGTACTTCTTCAGATCAAATATATCAAGGTTCTCATCTGATGTCAGCAGCACATAGGTCAAAGCTGACCACTGAGAAGCAGTGAAATTTTCAAATTTTTTTGTATCTGATTGTAAGAATGTCTTAATTTCTTGAACAAGGGAGGTGTCATTCAACTCATTGAGACAGTGAAAAAGATTAAGGTTTTTTTCAGGGTCCTGGATGTCTTCTCTTATCTTCTGTTTGATGTACTCCACTGTTTCTGTGTAAGAATCTTCATTATTTTCATTTTTCCTCAGCAGCTCTTGCAGTAGAACTTGATTAGCCTCCATAGAGAGTCCCAGCAGGAAACGGAGAAACAGATCCCAGTCCCCATTTTTACTCTCCAACGCCTTGTCAACTGCTTTCTTATAGAACTCTACTGTAGGCTTGGATGATGACCTGGAAGTGGTTTTAGTGAACAGATTTTTTCCTTTTGTATTGAATGTGTGAAAGACATAGAGTGCTGCCAGGTACTCCTGAATGCTGAGATGGACAAAGCAAAACATATTTTGCTGGTACAGGCCATGATCTTCTCTTTTAACCTGAGTAAACAGCCCAGAGAAAACTGCAGCTTCTATGATGTCAATACCACGGTCTGTAAGATTTTCTTCATTAAAGAGAAGTTCTCCTTTTTCTATTGCCTCAAAGGCCAGTTTGCCCAAAGAGAGGACTGTTTGTTTATTTCTGGTATTCCAACAGGGGTGTGATTCTGTACTTTTACTTTCACTATCTTCATGTTCACTATACTTAGCATTAGCTTGTCTGCATTGGAGTAAAAGGAAATATGTGAAGATATCAGTCAGAGTCTTGGGCAGCCCATCGTCGTGATTTCGGTGAACAATATCCTCCAGTACCTTTGAGACTATCCAGCAGAAAACAGGTATGTGACACATTATATAGAGACTCCTAGACTGCTTCACGTGTTTAAGGATTTTTTCAGCCTTCTCTCTGTTAGTGAAGCGTTTCCGGAAATACTCCTCTTTTTGTACATCGTTAAATCCTCTCACTTCTGTCATTCGATCAATTTTTTCAGTCGGAATGTTGTTGGATGCTGCAGGTCGAGAGGTAATCCATATTTGGGCATTTGGGAGGAGATTCCCCAGGAGGAGATTTGACATCAAAACACTCACGGGAGCTGGCTTTCTAACATCTGTCCATTGATGGCTTTCACTGAAATCAAGTTCAAGCTGACACTCATCAAGACCGTCCAAAACAATGAGAATCTCATATTTATCATAGTCAGTTATTTCAGAGGTCTTCATGCCTGGAAAAAACTCATGAATCAGATCCTCTAAACTGCGCTCCTCCTCTTTTCTAAGATTCAGCTCTCTAAATGGAAGTGGAAAAGTGAAAAAAATGTTTTTAGACACTGTTCCTTCTGTCCAGTCCAGCATGTACTTCATTGATGCAAATGTTTTTCCTATGCCTGCCATTCCAATAGTTACCACCGTTTTAATGTCTGTATTAAGAGGTGATGGTTTAAAGATGTCACAATATCTGATTGGTGTTTCTTCTTGCTCGTGTTTAAACTTTGCATCTTGAACCTGTCTGCACTCATGCTGAACATTGATTTCTCCTCTGTCCCCCTCTATAATGTAAAGGTCTGTGTAGATATCCTTAAGTAGAGCAGAGGTTTTTCCCTTATCGATCCCTTCTGACACAAAGGTAAGATGTTCCTTAAGTTGGCATTTGAGTTTCCGTTGACTTGCAAATTCAAGTTTCTCTGCAAAGATAAAAAAAAAAAATCATATTTGGGACCAATCATTGGTTTTTTTAAGGATGAGTTGAAACCATATATAGGTATCCTTTTTTGGTTATATAACAGATGCTCTTGGTGCCCAATGTTGTAGACTTTCTTTTAATGAGTCATTTTCACCATAAAATAAGACAAGATATCAAAATAAGAAAAATTTAAACTTAAATGATGAAAAGTGAGAAATGGCAATATTACAATTTGAAAAAAATATGCTGTTGTATATTGCTGGATCCAGCTATGGGGGAAACAAAAAGGGCTTAATCACATAGAGAAAGAAAAAGGCAACATCAGGGATCTCTCTGGTTGAGTCACAGATTGCATAAAAACAGAACAACCCTCTATTTGTTTATTCTGTGATTGTACCCCATTACAAAATAAGATTAAAAGCCTAAAACAAGCTATCTGAGCTCCTGCAGAAAAAAACAAAAAAAAAACATCTTAAGCGATTAATGCACAAAAAGAGACACAAACACCATCTAACTAACTGGCCCTATCAGACATCCTATGGTTCATCCAAATGGTTCATGAAAGAGGCTAAGTGTTAAAAAGAAATGTGCTTTTTATGCAACAGGCTGCTAATGATGACATGTAACTTTGTGGAAAAAACACTAATAGAGAAACACATTAGAACCAATAACTACGGATGTGATGCAAAAAAAAATAAAACTCTTACAGCAGCAACTTGTTGAAAGTTTACGGTATAGATTATTTAGGATATAATAAAGTCCATTATCATAATAAAAAAAATTGCCCCACTGCTGCAATCTCGACTGTGATGGTTACAGCAACGCACTGTTGCCTTATGGGTAATTCTGCCTCCTGCACTGTGATTGTTTTAGACTAGAGATTCAGGGCCTTACCAGACTGGCTGGCAGGTTATATAAAGTCACTAGTCTACAGGGTAAAAAGGTTATAGAAATAGTGCTGTCACCAATGTCCCAGAAACATTACCCCTAATCTAACATACTGCAGTCTCTCTGCTGTCCAGAATCCAAACATTCTAAGATCACCACATTCATCTCCAGCTTTCCTCTCAGGATCAGTGGCCAGATGGCTTTAAAAACAACATGAATCTTAAATATCAACTCAATCTCATTTAAATTTTGGGGATTTTAGATAGCATAAAGGACATTATCATTATTAAACTTGAACATGTTGACTGCCTCCTATACTTGTGGTTAAAAGGCTGTTTTCCATTGAAATTAGTGGGTTAACCTAAGCATGGGTCGACCCGCTAACAACCGGTATTTATCTGCTTTCCCACTGACAAAAAAAGCTGAGTCTGATCCCCCCTCTGTGTGGGCTACTGTCTAACCTGGTTCAACACAGGACAGTCAGCTGTTGCCACTATAAGCCGATTGTTCCCGTGTTTAAACATGTTTTTCAGCCATGGGAAAGAGCTATAAGAAACTATAGTAAAAGTCTATCAAAGGGCTTCATAGTGACAGACATCACAGCCACTGGTTTAAGGTCCTTTACCCGCTCCAGCCTAGGAATTGACTCGTGAATGATCTTTTCACCTGTAAAAACACATTTCCATCAGACTCCAGGCAGTTCGTTCTATTCTATGCGTGTTTTACCTCCTTTGCAATTACTGAACCACCAATAAAGATGTCTACATTGTCCTAATTAACATTTTAAATTGTATCTCTAATTTCCCCAAGTGTAATTTACAGGGATGTAAGGGACATTTTCTTATCTTCATGTATTTAGATGTATTATTACATTTCTTTCAACATCTATCTTGATATACAAATGTGAAACATATCTATCGAAAATTGTTTATTTTATATTTGCCTCTTTTTAATGCATTGCATTTGTTCTTGACAAACCCTAAAAAGATAGGCAAACAGTGTCAAACCATAAAAGCAAAAAAAAAAAACCTTTGACATATTCGAATGAAAATAGAGTTTATTTGCTGAAAATTACCCTCTGTGGATCAGAGGCCTGGCATTTCACTTTATGGGACTTGGTGTAGTAAGAGAAAATACATTTATATAAAGACGAGAAAAAAAAAGGTAACAAGATCAAGAAATAATAACATCTTACCTCGAATTTCTGTCTTTCTGTCAATAAAGACATCAGGGAGCTGCTCAGCAGCTGAGGGTTGGGAGGTTATCCAGACTTGTGCCTGAGGAAGCAGGTTTCCTTTAATGAGGTTTGTTATAATCGCGTCCACTGAGGCTGGTTCTCTGATATCAGTCACCGTCTCATTGTTGTCAAAGTGCAGAAGATGTTGACATGCATTCAGTCCATCCAGGACAAACACTAGCTTGAACAGTGCATAGTCAGAGACGACAAAATCTTTGATTTCCATGAAGAAATAATTTAGAAGTTCTACTAAACTTATGGGTTTCCCTTTGATTAAGTCTAGTTTCGACAAATCAAGTGGAAAAATAACTTCTACATTATCTCCAGCTTTTCCCAGTAAGGGTGATCCTTGGCCTTCATTCCAGGTGAAGAATGAGCTCCGAGTTTCATTTTTGGCCCAAGCTGTCACAAACTTTTGTACATGAAAGGTTTTTCCAATGTCAGGTTCTCCAGTAGTCAACACCGTTCTGATTTTTTCTTCCCCTCTTTTTTTAAAGATGTCAGATGGAACATTTATTTTGATCAGGGACTTTGGCTCAGTGTTTTCACTAGATGCACTTTCAGCCATCTCACTAACTAAGGTGTTTCTCATGACATGTTCTGTGGTTTCCTGGTTTGGATGACTCACTTCCTCTTCCCCTCCATCAGGGTATGCTTGGATAAATCTTCTCTTCAGGCATGAAACCAGTTTATTTCTGCGCATCAGGCTCTCTAAGTAGGAAAAACAAAGATTACAGTAGCTTGCTAAATGTAATAATGTAAATATGAAGCAATTGTATTAAATCCTTTGAAAAAAAAACATGTATTCTGTTTTTATCCAATTTTACATGCATGTCAATGTTTAGTTTTTGGTTTCATAATGAATGAATATGTGAAGTAGGGCTCCAGCTAATGATTATTTTGCTAATCGGTTAATCTGTCTATTATTTTTTCAATTATTTGATTAATAATTGGGTGGCAAAATGTTCCTTAAAGATTTCTTATGAAATTAAACCAGGTGAAATTATTATTATGGTAGTGCGTATTAATAACAGATGAAAACTTTTTTTTTCATCTGAAATGCAAAATATTTTTTGTTACAATTTTGGTATCATTACAGCTCTATGTGAGTTGCTCTGTGAGCTAAAGACAGGTTTTAGAGTCTCTATATTCCTGTTAACAATTAATCTCTTACTAAGTTACTAAATTAGATGACAATTCTTTCAATAATTGATTTATCACAATAAATATGATTAATTATTTCAGCCCTAATGTGAAGAATAAAACTTTGACCCACTTTTAAGATTTTATTAGTCCTACAAGTTGGATTTGCTGAAGCTAACAAACACAAAATTACTGTTAAAGAATTCTTTATTAATCTTAAAGGGAAATTAAGTCAAGTTGTTTAGTCAATCAATTAGTTGTTGTTAGTCCTATAATGTGATTCTGAATTATTTAAAATAATAACAATGGGTAAATTATGTTAATAGCTTGCAAAAGAAAGTAGATGAGGTGTTTTATTTGATTTTATATTCACTCTTACCTCGACATTCTGTAACCTGCCCAATGTATTCACCGGGAATCTTTTGGACTCCTCCAGGTTGAGAGATGATCCACAGAAGAGCATTTGGGAGAAGGTTTCCCTTAATGAGGTTTGTAAGAATCACATCCATCAATGCTGGCTCCTTTATATCTGTGAGCCAAAGGTTATTGTCAAAGTCTAGAGGAAGTTCACAGTTTTCCAAACCATCAAGGATAAAAAACACTTTTTTCTTCTCATAGTTTCCAATTCCTTTTTGAGCCACATCACTGAAGAAGCTTTTCAGCAAACTGTCCATGCTCAGAGCTTCTTTTCTCGCATTCAGCTCACTAAACTGAAGAGGGATTATTATGTCCACATCCTTGTTGGACTTTCGTTTTGCCCAGGCAACCATGAACAACTTTGTTTGAAATGTTTTACCGATACCAGGAACCCCCTTTGTTAGAACTGTTCGCACAGTTTTCTTCTTTAAGTCTGTAAATAAATCATTGTAGCTTTTCACCAGTTTTTCTCCATATTCCATATTGTTTGTGTCGATCGTGTAAAGTTCTGTTTCGGTCTCCACTTCAACCACTTCAGTCTCGTAAGCGGCCAAGATCCCATTTCTTCCAATTTCCGTGAGTCTTTCTTGAGCATTGATCTCTAAATAGGGATGGTAAATTAGAAATGATTGTAAAATATATTTAATAAGTCTTTACATAAACTTTCACAACTATGACCTCGTTAGGATTTACATTTCATTAATCTGACACCTTTAAAAGACATTTGTTTGCAATTGAACTGCTGTATTTTACTGTATTTTAAAATGAAAATGTGAGTTAAGAAGTTTAATACCTTTACAAACTAAAACCTTGTTGATATATTTCGCTGGAATCCTTTTAACTCCTGAGGGCTGAGAGATGATCCAGATCACAGCTCCAGGTAACAGGTTTCCCTTGATGAGGTTTGTCAGCAGAACATCCATTACTGCTCGGTCAGTTATTTTAGTCAGTTTTTTGTTCTCTTTAAAATCAAGGGGCAGCCGACAGCTTTCCAAGCCATCAAATATGAAAGCCACTTTACATTCCTGATAAGTGGAAACTTGATGCCATCCAGCATCATTGACAAAAGTATTCAGCAGATCCTCGATGCTTTGAACTTTGTCCTCTGTTGCATTTAGCTCACCAAGATGAAGGGGGAAAATCATGTCTATGTGTGTGTTGGACTTTTGCTTTGCCCAGTCGACCATCAACCTCCTTGTATGAAATGTTTTTCCAATCCCAGCAACTCCCTGGGTTAGCACTGTTCTCCAGGTTTTCTTTGATGTAACAAATAAATCACTGTAGGCTTCCACCATTTTATCCATATGTCTCCTTTTTTTGGCTATTTCGAAGAGTTCTGAATCAAATTCCACCTTCATGAGCTCACTTTCATAGGAAGCCAAGATCTGATTCCTCCAGGCCTCAGAGAGGCGTGTAACACCATTATCTAAATTGTAAACACACACAAAAAATAAAGCAAAGATACAGTATTGATGGGTTTGGAAATAATTGGTTTAATTGGCTATAAACAGCTTTTAATATTTCCCAAATAACAGTGAGTCTTAGTGAATAGTTTTTTTTTAACTTAGCTTGCATGCAGTCACATTTAATAGGCATTCCCTCTCGGGAGCAGATACAGGGTTGTGCATGTGCTTTTTTTTTTAAATGGAGAGGGCAGGTCTCCAATAGAGACCTTTTAAATCTTGACAAATCAACAATTGCACACTGAGATTGTATGCATATGTTTAACATAGATGGAAACACAAGTTTCTTTCAGATCATCCTTTCAGTTCAGAACCAAAAAATGTCCTTGGTTGTTGCCAATAAATAAGCTGAAATGTCCCAACACTGAATTAGGGTTTGAATTTTTATCTGTCACTTTTAAGATACAGCCAGATGATAATTATGACTTGTAAACATGTGGTTTATCATAATTGTAGAATGGTTCACAAAGAAAGTGGGCTCAATCATTTTAAGCCGGCTAGTATTTTCTTCTCTAATACTTTTTAAATCTCTTGTTAAAACCAACCTTTTTGCTTTGGAAATTTACACCTAGCAAATCAGTGGGCTTTATTTTAATTATTTTGTTCCTTATATCTTGTAACCAATTTTATATATTTGAATGTTATTTTTTTTTAATCCACGTTTTAGCTGTTTTGTCTTTTATTTTATTATATTTTACATTTTATCTATTTTTTTTTTGTATTTTTTTTTTGTTAGCAGTTTTAGAAGTGCTTAACAAATACAATTGGATTGGTTTCTTTTTGTTGGTCAAAAAGCTTTAAGGGAGAATAAAAGTAGAAAGGCAAGCTAGAAAGAAGAATCCAAAATTGATTCTTTTGTTTACAGATGAATGAAGCTCATATTACATCAACATTAGTGAAACATGTTGAAACTTTTAGGAAACATAAAAAGGATAGGCAACAGGATGTAATGTTCCAGCCAGTGCAAATTATTCTGCAAAATTATTACATTGTGTGGTTTCCTTGTGGGGCCCTATGCTGAGAGGAATTGCTGTTTTAGGGACAGGGATCTCATTTAGGACTAAGGTGCAAATTGAGTTTAGGTTAGGGTTAGGTATGAACCTGTAATGGTTAGATTTGGGGTAAGGGTCACAGTTAGGCTGTAAGACATGGAAAGGCCATACAAAGATAGGGAAAAGTTTTGTTCACCTTTTTTTCTTTTTATTACCGATGCACATCATGGTGCAGGAGGCTTATTAATTTCCAGAGGAGTAGCTGGGAAATAACTGATGATGTCTAATCTTCTTCTTTACACTGAACCACACAAAACAACTTGTTCTTAGTTTGCTACGACTGAGGTGATAAAAATGGGACTAGTAAGATGGGATTTTATTTATTTTCATAGTTATTCTTAATTCCAATTATAACCTATAAGTAAACACACATAGGTAGATATCCTTTCAAGAAAGGCAAAATCTCACTTTTCACTTTTGAATCAGTTAAATCTGACCAGAACCAACTTGTTGTGTAGTTATGCAGACTGAAAAAAGCCCCCAAAATCTGAATGATCAAACCCGAGAAAAATAATCAGCAGAATCTGATGTAACTGATGACATGAAGCCGAACCCTTTTAAACCCATGATCTTAGCTACGTGCTCTGAAAGACATGCCTGTGACCTCAGCTGATCAACTTTCATGATATAATGAAACACTGATCCATAAAAATGTGGGTTGAAGTGTCCACAGTATTGTGGAGCAAGGACGTCATGCTACAGACAGACGAGTACAAACCATACCTTTCTTGACGTTCAGCTGATCATCATATGGTTTTTCCAAGACCACTGTTGTCACACATTTATCACTCTTTGATGGGCTAAAAGACAAAACAGAATATGCGTCTTTTTGAATAAATATTTGTTATTGGTAACAGAGACCACATTCTAACATTTCTAAACCTGATCCCTCCTAAAACAAAAAAATTTTGGAAACAAAATATTTTTGGTTGTGAAGTATATAGGGCCTCTGTTTTCCTCTTGCCTACACTGTTTTGGGAAACCTGTCTTCCCTTCATTGATTTCTTTTGTTCTAAAAGTAGTTTTTTTTTTTTTTTTTTTACAGCATCTTCTGATGTACAATCGTGCATTTCTGTTGTAACCTTGATTTCCGTAACCCCTTAAAACCACTTATCAACCATTTCTACATCTGTTCCAGGTACTTTACCAACTCTTTCTAACTTTATGGCTTTCTAAATTTAGCTTCAAATAATTGATATTCACCATCATGGAATCTTAAAGATTTTAAATGCCATTTTACTTTCAGGTTTTCTAATATATGCTAATTTAACTGACATATATATATTTCTTTTTTAATGATAATCCTTAACATTGTACTTTTCTGGAAACAATGAAGGTTTCAACAATACTTTACTATACAATAAGAATTTACTATAACGGAGGAGAGACCAGCTATGATAGGAGAACCTGTCATCCTCTTTGCGCTGATGGCTGGCTTAATTGCTCATTTCATTCACCTGTTCAACTCTGCGCTGTTTCTCATCAATGCTCATCTGATCCACCTGCTCCTGCTTCTACTTAACCTGATTGGTCTCAGCAATTTGTGCCAGATTATTGTTGAGCCTTTGGTGAGATGTCTAGCGTTACTAATAATGTTCTGATTGCCTGATTCTATTATGTTTCTGTCTTCGGAACCTTTGAGCCTGCCTGCTAGTGATGGTGAGATGAAGCCTCATGAGGCATTGAACTGTTTGGCCAAATTGCTTCAACAATCCCCACAGTTCATGAGGCTTCATGTGAACAGGTCACCACCTACTGGTGGAGGGCAGAACTACAGTTTGTAATAAAAATCTGTGATTTTTATTTTGCAACTGTTTTTCTTTTTTTCCCCTTTTAAGTTCCCTTGAAATTATTATTGGTTGTTGTGTACAATAAAATCTTTTGTAAGTTTAAAGTTAAGTTAAGTTTAAAATTTCTTAGAACAATAATTTAAGGTGCACAGTTTTTCTGCCATTTTAGTGAAATAAACTCAAGCAGACAGTGACAGTGTTTGTGCAAATTGGGCAATGATGAGCAAAATGAAAGGTGTTAGTCATTTTTATTTAAACATGATAGTTTTTCCACGTTTTTTGATTTTAATCAGGTTGGAAGTTGTGTTCAACCAATCTTTTGGCTACACTGTCCTAATTTACCCAATCTATATTTTTACTCGGGCAAAACAATGCAAATTAGTCTCATTAGCCAAAATAATTAAGTTTAATCGAAATTTTTAAAAGTCAAGTTCAGGTCTTGAACCATCAACCTCTAGAGTGGGAGCCTGACTCTTACAGCTGACGCCACCTATGAAGACAATCTTACCTAGGAGAAAATACTTCTTAACACTGACGTGTTAACACTGGCCTTGTCGGGTGGTTTGCTCAAATTTTGATCATTGCATTGTTTATTCTAACCAAATTAGCAACTAGATTGGTTGGAAAAACAACCAACCTATTATTAGAAACTATCCAAACTTTATCCAGCTGAGAGCATCTCTCCTCCAAACTCCCACATCTTGACTGAACACTGAGGCTGTTTAGATGCCTTTCAAAATTCTTGCGCATTCTGAACAACTTCCCGAAGCGGTCACGTGGTATCACGGTAACGAGGCCTCGGAGGTCATCAATTTTGGCCCCTCCTCTAAATGAATCACGCCTCGACACGCGCTTCGGTGAAACGCCCCCTCCATTACTCGACACACGCCTCGAAGCCTCGGCTCATCTCATAACATCACTACTGCCTGCCCTTGTTCTGATCTGTTTGTCTGACCTGTCTTTGGATTCTGTTGGATTCATCTATGGACTGAACCTGGATCTGCCTCTTGACTTTGCCCTCTGGATTATCCGTCTGTCCTCCGTCATCTTCTGTAATCTGATCTCCTGTCAGTTCTGTCTCCTTCAAGACTTCAACGTCTGGAACTCTCTGTGCATATTTGTGTTATTAGAGCTTTAAAAATGATTGGGTCAAGAACAGCTCAAGATAGAATGGGAGGATATTCGAAAGTTAGGATCTGATGTCCTGGAAGACTTGATGATTGAAATTGAATCAAAGGCTGTTTTGACACTGTGTAAGTATTTGAAGCACACATTAATACAAATAGGTTATAAAACTTGTTGGGGTTTTTTTGTTTTTTAATCTTTTTTTCCTTCTTGGAGATTTGTTGTTTGTCCCAAACAACAAAGGTTTCAATAATGCTTTCATTTACCTTGTTTTTCCGTCTCTGAAGTGATTAGGATGACCCATGGAACAGTCACTTCTCATTGAGACACTGGATGGATCGGGTGAAGATGGTANAATGATAATCCTTAACATTGTACTTTTCTGGAAACAATGAAGGTTTTAACAATACTTTAAAGAATTTACTATAACGGAGGAGAGACCAGCTATGATAGGAGAACCTGTCATCCTCTTTGCGCTGATGGCTGGCTTAATTGCTCATTTCATTCACCTGTTCAACTCTGCGCTGTTTCTCATCAATGCTCATCTGATCCACCTGCTCCTGCTTCTACTTAACCTGATTGGTCTCAGCAATTTGTGCCAGATTATTGTTGAGCCTTTGGTGAGATGTCTAGCGTTACTAATAATGTTCTGATTGCCTGATTCTATTATGTTTCTGTCTTCGGAACCTTTGAGCCTGCCTGCTAGTGATGGTGAGATGAAGCCTCATGAGGCATTGAACTGTTTGGCCAAATTGCTTCAACAATCCCCACAGTTCATGAGGCTTCATGTGAACAGGTCACCACCTACTGGTGGAGGGCAGAACTACAGTTTGTAATAAAAATCTGTGATTTTTATTTTGCAACTGTTTTTCTTTTTTTCCCCTTTTAAGTTCCCTTGAAATTATTATTGGTTGTTGTGTACAATAAAATCTTTTGTAAGTTTAAAGTTAAGTTAAGTTTAAAATTTCTTAGAACAATAATTTAAGGTGCACAGTTTTTCTGCCATTTTAGTGAAATAAACTCAAGCAGACAGTGACAGTGTTTGTGCAAATTGGGCAATGATGAGCAAAATGAAAGGTGTTAGTCATTTTTATTTAAACATGATAGTTTTTCCACGTTTTTTGATTTTAATCAGGTTGGAAGTTGTGTTCAACCAATCTTTTGGCTACACTGTCCTAATTTACCCAATCTATATTTTTACTCGGGCAAAACAATGCAAATTAGTCTCATTAGCCAAAATAATTAAGTTTAATCGAAATTTTTAAAAGTCAAGTTCAGGTCTTGAACCATCAACCTCTAGAGTGGGAGCCTGACTCTTACAGCTGACGCCACCTATGAAGACAATCTTACCTAGGAGAAAATACTTCTTAACACTGACGTGTTAACACTGGCCTTGTCTGGTGGTTTGCTCAAATTTTGATCATTACATTGTTTATTCTAACCAAATTAGCAACTAGATTGGTTGGAAAAACAACCAACCTATTATTAGAAACTATCCAAACTTTATCCAGCTGAGAGCATCTCTCCTCCAAACTCCCACATCTTGACTGAACACTGAGGCTGTTTAGATGCCTTTCAAAATTCTTGCGCATTCTGAACAACTTCCCGAAGCGGTCACGTGCTATCACGGTAACGAGGCCTCTGACGTCATCAATTTTGGCCCCTCCTCTATGTGAATCACGGGGAAACGCCCCCTCAATTACTGTACACACGCCTCGAAGCCTCGGCTCATCTCATAACATCACTACTGCCTGCCCTTGTTCTGATCTGTTTGTCTGACCTGTCTTTGGATTCTGTTGGATTCATCTATGGACTGAACCTGGATCTGCCTCTTGACTTTGCCCTCTGGATTATCCGTCTGTCCTCCGTCATCTTCTGTAATCTGATCTCCTGTCAGTTCTGTCTCCTTCAAGACTTCAACGTCTGGAACTCTCTGTGCATATTTGTGTTATTAGAGCTTTAAAAATGATTGGGTCAAGAACAGCTCAAGATAGAATGGGAGGATATTCGAAAGTTAGGATCTGATGTCCTGGAAGACTTGATGATTGAAATTGAATCAAAGGCTGTTTTGACACTGTGTAAGTATTTGAAGCACACATTAATACAAATAGGTTATAAAACTTGTTGGGGTTTTTTTGTTTTTTAATCTTTTTTTCCTTCTTGGAGATTTGTTGTTTGTCCCAAACAACAAAGGTTTCAATAATGCTTTCATTTACCTTGTTTTTCCGTCTCTGAAGTGATTAGGATGACCCATGGAACAGTCACTTCTCATTGAGACACTGGATGGATCGGGTGAAGATGGTAGGTGATCCTCAGACGTTCTGCAAATAATAAAATGATACAGAAACGTTGTAACTATAAGGGTAAGAAAAGCAAGACGAGTTTATTTGTATAGTACAATTCAGTAAAAGGACAATTCAAAGTACTTTGTATGCATTAAACAATAAAATTGAATAATTATTAAAGTAGAATAAAAGCAAATAAAGATAAAAANTGGATCACAACCTTAAACTAATAGTATATCAGTGAATAGTTTGACTTCAACAGTAAAAAGCAGCTCTGATTAAATGGGTTTTTAACTTTGACTTAGAAGAACTCAGACTTTCAACACTTTTACAGTCTTCTGGGAGTTTGTAAATGCTGCTTCTCCATGTTTGGTTGTAGTTCTGGGTATACAGAATAGGCTTGGACTGGAAGACCTTGGTGGTCTGGGATGGTGATACACTGAAAACAAATCTGTTATGTATTGAGGCGCTGATCCAATCGTGATTTACAGACTAACAGAAGGATTTTAAACTCTAATATCTGAGTTACAGTGAGCCCATGGAAAGACTTCAGAACCGAGCTGATGTGCTCTACTTTCTTAGTTCTAGTGAGAACACGGGCAGCAGCTTTTTGGATCAGCTGCAGCTGTCTAATAGACTTTTTAGGCAAACCTATGAAAACATTGTTGCAGTAATTGAGTCTACGAAAGATAAATGCATGAATTAGCTTTTGTAGATCCTGCTTTGCTATTAGTTCTTTAATCATGGAAATGTTCTTCAGGAGATAAAAGGCTGACCTGGTAACTGCCTTTATGAGCCTCTGAAAGTTCAGATCTGAATTCATCATGACATCAAGAGTTCGGCTATAATCAGTGGCTTTTAGCTGAAGCTGTGAGCTAACTCTGATCTCTCCTCCTTTGGTCTGAAGATTATTACCTCAGTTTTGTTCTAATCAGCTGGAGAAAATTATGGTGCATCCACATAATGCTCTGTTCTAAACATCTAGCCAACGTTCTGATGGGTTCTTAGTCAGCTAGTGACATCCTGGTGTAAAGCTGTGTGTTGTATGCAGACTTAGGCGTCTGGAACTCTCTGTGCGGCAAGCGGTGCGTCTTGTCAGCCTACTGGCTGGTATCAACCTTGTTTTCTGGGCACGGTCTGAACTCTAAACCAGGTTAGTGACTGATGGTTCAGATTATCCTCCGTCAGGTTTTCATGGTCACTAACTTGTGTTTCCTCTCACCTGAGTTAACTGCCTCGGACACCCTAGCTGCTGCTTCTGCAGATCCACAACCCATTCGCTGTTGCTTTTTAAGTTATCCCACTGTCTGTCTTGCCTGTCCCTCTGTTCTGAGTTATTACAAAACCAACTGTTTTACATATTTGCGTTATTAGAGCTTTAAAAATGATTGGGTCAAGAACAGCTCAAGATAGAGTGGGAAGATATTTGAAGGTTAGGATCTGATGTCCTGGAAGACTTGATGTTTGAAATTGAATCAAAGCTGTTTTGACACTGTAAGTATTTGAAGCACACATTCACACAAACACGTTATTAAATTTGTTGTTTTTTGTTTTTTAATCTTTTTTTTCTTTCTTGGAGATTTGTTTTTTTGTCACAAACAACAAAGGTTTCAATAATGCTTTAATTTACCTTGTTTTTCCGTCTCTGAAGTGATTAGGATGACCCATGGAACAGTCACTTCTCATTGAGACACTGGATGGATCGGGTGAAGATGGTAG